CAGCAGGAGTCTTGACTCCCTTCATTCTGTCCTTAGTATTGGACAAGCCGAGCCACTGCAAGGTAGCTTCAACAGCATTTAAAATCCCAGCCCACTGATGTTGTTAGTGTTTCAGATTTCCATCTGATTTCAACTATTACCACCACTTACTGATCACAAAGTATGTGATCTGAAATGGCAGCTATGTGTTATACAATACAGTTGCATTAAAGAGAATTTCTAACTGAATGTATGTCTGACAAATGTTTTTCATTTTGTAACTAAAGCACTGCGGTTCCTTTCTCAGGAAAAGGGGTAGCGAAGGTTATAAAATAAATACTGCTTGATCAGACAGACAGACTCTTTAAATGGTGTTTGCCACAATCTGTATTACCTCTGACCTGTGACTTGACAGAACACTAGAGGGAAGTTACATACTGTTCCGTAAGCAAATTTATGGCAGAACTCGGAATAAGGCTTTTAGTAGTTTAAAGAATTTTGTCCCGCAGTAGCTGTGGTCCGTTTCTATTAAATTTACAAATAATTAATTGCATTTAGCTTAATTACACTTCTAACAGTTTCTAAACTTCCAAGAAGTAGGTAAAACCTTGGATTAAACCTGGAACATTTAGAAACCTCCAGTCCAGAAGAAGTTAGCGGCCACCATGAGTCATCTTTATGGATTTCAAAGCAGGTATAGATACGGCAGTTATTCCACAAATATAAAATACTGCCGAAAGAAATGACAAAGTACTGATTTGTATAGCTAAAAACATTACCCCCCTTTTTCAGTAAGGTTAATGGACTTGGCAATAGGGAACGCAAGAGTGCAATTCCCCAATTGTGTAAATTATTACAGATTTCTGTGTTCTAGTAACTTCTTCCCCAACCTCCAGCTGGGTTTAGAGTGGTGGTGCAAGGAGAAAAAGAACGCATATTACTAATACTAGAGGGACAGGAATATAAAGATGTTGTCTTTCTCCTGTGATTCACCGAAAGCTTGTTTTCAAATAGATGCCTTCTATTTGATTTGGAGTATCTTCATATAAATGAAATCGTGAGAGCGTAGGAGTCAGTGTCCATACCCATCTTTAGGTATCTCTCAGATGCAGCAGGATCAGTAATTTGGTCTAGCTGAGAAAGGTAAGGAAAAAAATAATTTCAAATTTAACCATGTTATTCTGACCACTTCCAATTGCTCTCTTACCTTGGAGTAAGTATCACCCTGCTGCGCAACCCAGCACATCCACTTTTTCCTCTAACACACCAAGAACATGCGCATAGCAAGGGCAAAAGCCCTGCACTGCCAAAGGCAACAGGTGCTTCGGCATGCATGCAATGACTGCCGCTCAGACAGCACAAGATTGTTCAATCAGGCTCCAAACACTGTAAAGTCTACTTGCAGCACTGTCCGCTGAAACAGCGGCCGAGCAGCTGATGCCGATGAGGTGGTCAGGGGCAGCTGACTGTTAGAAGGGCAGGGGCTCCAGCCAGTA